AGTTGTGGTCATGTGCACTGCTTTATGTACATTACAGTTCTTATAGTCCTTATTCCCTCTCAAGAGTGAGCAGGAGAGGGTAGCGATGTACCTACATACAGTAGGATCATGGAGAAGGAATGTAGCCACTCTTTGATAGGAAATCTGGTCACAGCAGCAAAAAAAAAAACAATTAATTTAGAGGAGATTGAGTGCAATAGAAGGTATTATATTTAGTTACAGTGATTCTAAAGGTTAATTTTTTTTGTTGTAAAATAACAAACATGTCTATACTTACATACTGTGTGCACTGGTTTTGCATAGAGCAGCCTGCATCCTCCTTTTCTCAGTTCCCCCTGCAAGCTCTCCTGGCCCCCACAGCAAGCAGCTTGCTATGGGGGCACCTGTTGCTCCGTGTGTCCATTCACACACGGAGCAGCGGCTTTGCCCCCGCCCCCTGTCTCTCCTCATTGGCTGACTGGCTTGATTGACCGCATCAGAAGCCAATGGCTCCCACTTGCTGTCTCAGCCAATGAGGAGGCAGGGACCCGAGGCTGGTATTCACATCGCTGGATCGCGATGAGGCTCAGGTGAGTGTTGAGGGGGCTTGGGGCACTGCTGCACACAGAATGTGTTTTACCTTCATGCATAGAATGCATGAATGTAAAAAACCTTCAGCCTTTACAACCATTTTAAGAATATACACTCACCAGCTACTTTATTAGGTACACCATGCTGGTACCAGATTGGACCCCCTTTTGCCTTCAGAACTGCCTTAATTCTTCATGGCATAGATTCAACAAGGTATTGGAAACATTCCTCCAGAGATTTTGGTCCATATTGACATGAGTTACTGTTGCTTTTCTATGATCTCGAACCAGTCTGCCCATTCTCCTCTGACCTCTGGAATCAACAAGGCATTTTCATCCACACAACTGCTGCTCACTGGATATTTTCTCTTTTTGTGGACCATTCTCTGTAAACCTTAGAGATGGTTGTGCATGCAAATCCCAGTAGATTAGCAGTTTTTGAAATACTCAGACCAGCCCATTTGGCACCAACAATCATGCCACATTCACTTAAATACCCTTTCTTCCTCATTCTGATGCTTGGTTTGAACTTCAGCAAGTCATCTTCACCATGTCTAGATGCCTAAATGCATTGATTTGCTGCCATGTGATTGGCTGATTAGCAATTTGTGTTTCCAAGCAATTAAACAGGTGTACCTAATAAAGTGGCCGATCAGTATATACTTTTTTTTTAATCAGAGTTTGTCACTTTACATTTAGTTTATTGCATTAGAGCTATTTGGCAATCCATCTACTTTCCAAAAAAAAAAGTTTGGGGAGGTTGAGAGATCATTTTTATGTACTGGAAATAAATCAATCCATCTAATTTGTAGAAAGCAACCTCCACCTCCTGAAAAATGAATGCATTTTATTTGGCCAACAATTACTTTAGAAACCTTCCACCGCTAAAACTAGTTCAGCTTTATCCCTCATTCATGTGCTGTCACAAGCTAAAATGGACCCGATTGCAACAACAATTTAAGATCAGACATTAGTCTGGTAATTCTGTGGATGGCTTGCCGCCTCCTCCACTGCCTCAGTGAGGAGTTAATACCAATGGCTGGAGAAACACAGATGATATGTGAACTACAACAGACAGTGACATAGAGCACATGATTCAGCTGAATGGGCAATCTGTTATGTAATAAGACAGGTTTTCATCCATACTATAAAGCAATATTTCATACCAAGGAAACAACAAAAATATTGTACCAGTTTTCCATAAAACAGGACTATTTGTAGTTATACAGTATGATCATAAAATAAGTCAGACAGGTGAATCACCCAATTTTTCCTTAGGATTAGGTGATTCACCTGACTTGCTTTTTTTTATAGATCATGGAACTACAAAGTAAAGTCCCATTTTATGGATGATTATTGCAAGACTTTTGTGTTTTCCTCAGCAAGGAACATTTCTGACACTACACACAATGGCTGGGAATTGTGGAAAAAAACAGGCAGAGCCACTGTCTCCACATAACTGTCAAGAAGGTCAATAGAGATAGATGAGGATAAACAAAGGAAAATATATAGATTAATACACGAGAATATAAGTATGAGAGAGATGGAGGTAAACTATAAGTGTTTAGCGAGATGGCACATTACACCAAAGGTTGAGTATAAGATATGCGGGGAAAATACACTAGAGTGCTGGAGGGGATGTGGAAAGTTAGGCACTCTATATCATATATGGTGGGAGTGCCCGAAGATCCAAGGTTTTTGGGAGATAATGGTTCAACTAATTGAGAATATCTCTGGGATAAAGATAGGACTGGACCCAGAAGTGTGTCTACTACATAGTACAGAGCTATCAGTAAATAAATGCAAGGACTCGGGTATATGGTGCTATTTGAATGCGGCAAAGTGTCTAATACCTAAGTTCTGGCATAGATCAGAGGTGCCGAAGATAGCGGATTTGGTGGAGAGAACGAATCAGATATGTAGGATGGAGAAATTGTATTATATGCAAGAAGACAAGATGGGGTTATTCTCTAAGAAGTGGAAAAAATGGGAAGAATTTATGGGGAATTATATGAAGTAGCAGTGTGAGAGAGATGGAAGTATTTATATATTCTAGTTGGGAAAAGAGGTAATAGAACAATGCAGAGTGGGTGGGTTTACATGGGGGGAGGGAGGTCTTATTTGGGGAGGAGGGAAAAGATAGGGGGGGGGGGGCGGTAATGGGAATAAAGTTTAGTATGAAATGTAATTTATGATCTGGAAATGATTTTTGTATGAGAATAATGATGAAATATGTACTATATTTAAAAAAATAAATATTTAAATAAAAAAAAAAATAACTGTCAAGAAGGTCATAATGTACTGTATGTGCCAATGCGTTGGGATATCGTCATTACAGATTGAGATAGGACAGCTGGAGATTCTGGCCATTAAAGATCTAGTTTTCCTTCAACTCTAAAGTTATAATGCTGGTTGTTTGGTTCTCGCGAAATACTACCAAGAATCTAATGACTCTGTCCTATTAGATAAAATGATTAGTATTAGTATAATGGTCCAGATTCATTTTGACATTTCAAGTGTGGTTAAATTGGGAACCTGGAGATATCAGAAATTGGCAAATGTTTTATAAGCAGTTCTTTATTTCTTTATTTGTTTTGTTTGGTATACATGTAGCTTCCTTCATTGCTGGGTAGAGTGTTGTAGATTGCAATTGTAATGTTTTTGGGTAAAAATATCAGTTGCAGTTTAAATTTCAAGAAAATCTTTATGCTGTTTTTCATTGAATATGTAACTTGAGTTGCTGCACTAAGTTTACCTGAACATATTTTATGTGATTTTACTTATTATATTTTCTTGTTCTTCAAGCAGAGTTTTTGATTTCCTCTCTAGTGGCTGTCTGCCACAAGTGCAAATGTCATTCTTGCTGTGCATCTGCTGAAATAAAATCGTTTACAAGATAAGCAGACCAGATATGTGATTGTTTCCCAGCAGCCTCAGCAGTGGGATGATTTTTTATAGCATAAGCAATAATTCTCAAAAATGGTGCAGTGCTGAAAATATACATTTAATAAAGGAGACCTTTATCTCAATTACTACACTATGGAGGATTTCTTTCTCCCTCACTGTGAGCATGGGTGAGAATTATATTCAGCAGATTGATCCATCCTGAGAGGCCTGGAGTATTATTCAGAGGAACTACAGGTGAAAATACTGCCAGCCAGGTTTGGAGTAGGATCCAAGTGTGATCCTGAAAGGGAAGTGGCCCATTGGGTCAATGAAAGGAGGTGAGGAGGCATTTTAGCCAGTGTGGATAAAGTGTGCTGACACTGTTCACGGATTATCGTCACCATTGGCACGTTGCATAATTTTCAAGATTTTGAAGCACTTATGATTTGATCATTTATGGACTTTTTTTGGAATTTATCTATTTATTTGCTGTTTTTTCACGTTTGCACCAATCAAAGTGTAGATACCCCCTGGTTTGAGGGGTTTGTGTCTAGTTACTTTATAATCCTTTTAGAGGGGTTTATTTGAGCATCTTTATTTTCACGTATTTATTGAGGTCACATTGTTTGGGCACAGTATGCACGTTTATTGAATTATCAATTCTATATTGGGGCACATTATATATTTTTAGCACTATTTTGGTATTTATTTAATATTTTCAGCACTGCACCATTTTTGAGAATTATTGTTTATCACGGTTAAGGTATCAGTTTGGGGTGTCAGCAGCGGATATCTTTAGTCATATATATCACTTCCCTTTTGTGCGCAGGAGGATTTCCTTCATATGCTTTTATAGCATAAGCAGTAAACCATAAGGCGTGTGTCACCCTGTTTATACAAAATACAGTACATGTACTGAGCAGATCTAGTTGCCCCATGTCCGTTTAATTGGAGACCATTTATTTTTTTTTTTCATTTTGATAAGAATCACTACAGTAAAGACATCCTGTCACAATAGTAATGTGGTATTTATTTCTATTGCGGACTTGTTTTAAAGATGAGGGCTTTGGACCTATTGTCTGTATCTTTCTTCCATTTATTTCCTTTTCATTTATTGGTGGGTCATTAACTTGGAGTAGGCATGTGCATATCATGTTACCAACACATCACTGGCCAAGTAAGACAGGTCTAGAGCTTGCAACTGCAATGGCAGTCCTAGATTTCTATTCTCACAGGTTCCTTTTTATGATCATTTATATATAAATCCTGGCTCCTTCAAAGTGTTCCAGAATCCACTATAAAAGGATGTTGTCGCTTTAAAGCTTTACGTTTCCCTTTTCAAAGAGGTACAGATTATCAAGGTAGTTTATCTAGTGGCTCTTTGTAAACAAAGAGAAAAGAGCTATCAATTATATTGGCTGCCTTCTGTTATAATTGAATTTGTGGATAACTGATATACGAAAAAATAAACAATTAAATGCCCCATTGAGCTTTACCAATGTATTCATAATGTATTCAAACATTTCATTATTTTTTTTTATTTAGCAAACTCTGGATCTCTCCAAGGGCCTCATACTCCTCAGTCCACTGGCAGTAATTCCATGGCTGAGATGCCTGGTGATTTAAAGCCTCCAACTCCCGCGTCAACACCGCATGGACAGATGCAGCCAATGCCAAGTGGCAGGTACTTCCATTTAGCTGTCCAAACCACATGCTTTGTTTTTATGTTCACATTCTGTCTGTATGTGGGTAGACTTTCACATTGCTATGTGCTTTAAAAGGCTTTTCTGCATATGGGAGACCATCACTTTGTATTCATCCTCGTTACAGCTTTCTTCCCTGAATGTGAGAATTGTGCTTATGTGCATTACTTTTATTTTTTTATAGAAACAGTTCAGTGAGCGTACAGGATCCATTCTCAGATGATTCAGGGTTTCCAAAGCGTAATTCAATGACTCCAAACGCTCCTTACCAACAAGGGATGAATGTGCCAGACATGATGGGCCGGATGCCATACGAGCCCAACAAAGATCCATTTAGCAGCATGAGAAAGGGTAAAAGAAGCTTAGATCTTCTTCAGTGGGCTCTAGCTTTGTTTTTGTAATGTACAGTATCTTATTTAACAGTATATACTGTATCTGTATGTTTGTAAGTACACATTTTCACGTCTCTTAGTTGTTTGGTCCTTAGCCCGGCCAAAATGGGGCTGTTGTGCCTTATTACCACAGAACTATTCCGCACATGAGTCAAGGAGTGACTACTTTTGTCAGAACCCAATCCCACAAATGTTTTGATCTAAACTGAACCGTACTTAATTGAAACTTTGGAAAAGGAAACATTCTGCATAAGTGTAGACACAACAAGATGTCTACTATTAACTTTATTGGTCAATAAAGCCCTTTAGGCTCACTTTATTAATGGAGCCTGACTTTTGACTTGTGAGTTGGAGCATCTTTGCTAGTCACTGAGGCAGTCTCCATGAACAATTGGAAGCTAGGGCTGAGCCTTCAAATAAAAAAAAAAAGTCACGTCCCAGTTAAATGAAATTGCAGAAGCTTTTTGAGTAATAAAAGTAAGATCGGCAATCTTATGTTGCCTGCTAACTGAGATTTTTTTTTTACATAAAAACTTTAAACTGGAACACCGATGTTGTACAACAAAATATATGTAAGGGGAGACTAGTTAAGATGGCTGTAGATGCTATGACATGTTCTAAATTGGATGATGACTGTTCTTGTTTAGGCCTTTTAGAAGAAGGGTGGGTACGCTGTAGTACCTAAGTTGATGAGTTACTGACGTACAACTTGCTGACAGGAAAAAAGAGTAGAGTGAGAAGAGGGGTGACTTTATCTGAATATTGCTGCTCTTTTATTGTCCAGTCAGCTGGATGGGTATGTACTGTTGCTGTCTTGCAGGCCTGTCTTGATCATAAAACTGGCCACACTGAGAAAACAGTTGTCATATATGTGCTACCTTTATTTTCTGCTAGCCAAGAGTTCAGCTTTAAACTCCAGCAGTTCTTAGATTGGTTGTTTAGTAGGTCGTGCATCTGAGTAACCACTTGAAACAGGACCTTTCAAAGAGAAGAGTAATTCAAACTGGCTGATATTAGATTAGTTTGTATCTTCACAGTCTTCACTATTTCTAGACACTTTTAAAACCGCTAGCTGTATTAAAATGGTTTGGCTCTGTATGTAGATAATATTGTTTTAGTTGAACAGGTATTAAAGTGAACCTGTACTTTCCCACACTCCATAAACATATTTCCTGTGGTGTGGGCACCATAATGTGACTGCACTTACTTTCCTTGCTCTCTCTCTCATTGTCTGGATCTGCATCAGAACACATCAAATTTCCAATGCAAATTTATACTGTCTGAAATTCTCAGCCTGCACAGGACTAGGCAAGCAAGTTTCCATCGCTATGGCTAGGCTGGCCATACACTATACAATTTTCTATCCAATTTCTGCTCAATTTCCTTTAGATTTACCTTCAACTATGTAGTGCAAGGGCTTACCTAATTGGATACAATTGAAAGTGTTGTTTAGGTTTGACCTCATATTATATGGTTTTTGGTAAATCTAAAGCAAAATTCTCAAGAAAATTGTATAGTGTATGGCCAGCCTTAGTGTTCAGGTCTGGCTACACACATACTCACTCAACGAGCCTTAATTCTCTATGAAACAGTGTCAGATGTTCTTCGTAAATGGAATCCCTAGGTAATTCTGTAGATGTTCTAGCTGATTGGAGAGGGAGGGTAGTGCATTGAAGGTCAGGTACAGGTTGTCTATGGTGCCTACAGTGCAGATCGAACCTGTTTCCTAATGTTGGAAAATACGCATTTCTTTAACCACTTGCTCTCCAGAGGATTTACCTCTCTTCCTGACCAGGCCATTTTTTTGTGACACGGCTCTACGTTACTTTAACTGACAATTGCGCGGTCATGCAATGCTATATATAAATTTATTTTGTCATTCTTTCTCACAAATAGAGATTTCTTTTAGTGGTATTTGAGCACCCCTGCGGCTTTTTTTTATGCGCTATAATTAAAATAAGAACCACAATTTAAAAAATAAAAGAAACAAACAATATTGTTTACTTTTTGCTATAAAACATATCCAATAAACATTTTTTTAAAAATCTAATTTCTTCATAAATTTCGGCCAAAATGTATTCTGCTACATGTCTTTGCTAAAAAAAAAAAATCCCAATAAGTGTAAATTAATTGGTTTACGTGAAAGTCTACAAATGGTGGTATATATAGTGGAATTTATTTTTTTTTATACTAGTAATGGCAGCGATTAGCGACTTAAAGCCGGACTCCTGGGGGCATTCTAACACTGGGTGGGAACTGAATAACTGGCACTGACATCCAGAGTGACACTAATACAGTGATCAGTGCTAATAAAAAGCACTGACACTGTCCTAATGACAATGGCAGAAATGGGTTAACATCTGGGGCGATCAAAGGGTTAACTGAGTAGGCTGCGTGTGTTTTTACTATGTGCTGTGTGTTTTACTAGGGAAACGTGCTGCTTTGCATTTTTCTGCTGTGCAGAGCAATACAAAACCGCATGTCTATGCTGACAGGAGAGAGACCTGTATTGTTTACACACAGGTCTCTCCCCTGTCAGCTTTCCCCAATGATCACTGAGTGCCGGCCGAGACCCAGTGATTGACATCTCTAGCCGCCAATAGTGGCCCGGGTAGGGCAGCACGTGCGCACGCCCACTACCCAAAATGCAAATCACATCATTTTGCGCCACCCTGTAATAGTATTTCTGCTATAGGGCGGAGGGCAAGTGGTATTAAAATATTCTGAACATATAGTTTGATAGTTTAAATGCTTGTTTTTTCTAAATCACACAAAATGCATGGATACATCTACTATTTCAAATTCCGCTTTTGGTATATTGATTTAACAAACACCATAGCTACCATTTGTTTTATTTTAAATCTGGAAAAAACATAGTATTTTTTCGTTATGCAAACCTCTCACATAACTGACTCATTTTAATGAATGAAATTACCTAACCTCCTTCAGTTTAAAATGCTTCTCTAATCAATGTTATAACATTTGATTAGGAAATATGAGTGTGTAATCAGCAAGTGCCGACTGAGAACACAGATTTCCTAATTTACTTGAGGTGCAACAATCAAAATTTTGCACTTCAATTGCTTAACATTTTGTCATCATGTTTTACAGCACTTGGGGGGGGGGGGGGGGGGTATTCAATCTGATCATAGTGGGGTTCTCAGAATCAGCTCTCATAAAATATCTTGCCATATCCCAGCTTAAAGTTTGTAAGCAATTTCTTCATTGACCATAATGTAAGAAAAAATGAACACAATTGTAAATAATAAGCAAACATCGCACTTTTTAAACATGTTTTGTCGCTCTGTGCATGTCCCTATATTGGCTCATTTAGTCTCGTTATGCTCTAAAAAGTCTGAAAAAGACCACATGTTGCTGGATCTGTAAACTTTGTGGCCAATACTGTATGTAAACCGAGACAATGTGCACATAAAATATACATCTCTTAGTAGCAAAGGACCACTCTTTAACGTGTATGTCTGGGTACAAGAAAAAAATGCTGTACATCTCTGCAATGTGCACATTACTCTGTGTTTTATCTCTTAAAAATACTGCAGTTACAGACAAATATAGTACCCGTTAATCGTGCCAGAAATCCACTGAGCTTCTAATATTCCTCTAGTGAACTAATAATGCTGCCTCTGTTGTAATCCCAAACAGTGTTATCAGCCCTGCCTGAGGCCCCCCCCCTTCTACTTTGGCACTTTTTTTTGGGGGGGGGGGGGGGAGGAAGTGGGCACCTGGTTTTGACAGGTACCTGTTCCCACTTCCGGTCGGATAGCTGCGGATATTCTACTGGAAGTTCTCCTCTCCTCCTGCCCACAAGCTTCTGGGACACAGCACAGGTCCCAGAAGACTGAAAGGCCATTCACAAAGAACAGCAAATGTGCAGTGGGAAGCCAGTTGTGAAGCCACAAGGAATCACAGCCTTCTTCCCACAGTAAAAATGTCAGGGACCTGAAGACTATCAAAGAACCAGCCCGGGTGAGGATGGCACTGGATCCCTGGACAAGTGAGTGTCCTTTTATTAAAAGTCTGCAGTTATAGTATTTGTAGCTGCTGACTTTTAATTCTTCTCAGACTGAAGCTCCTCTTTAAGGAGATGAGGAGGGACTGGTCTGTAGTCTAGCAGGGAAGACCTCAGGCCATACTGACAACACTGCTTGGGATTTAAGGGCGTTGTCAGGTTTTTATAGGAAACTAGGAGTTTACTAGATTTCTTTTAGGATTAACATGTATATTTCTGTACTTTCAAAGTTTTCAAAGAGACAAACCATGGGGAAGTGTGCATTTATTGCAGAGATGCAGAGATGAAATGGTATGTTTTCTTTGTATTTTGTCCTGACATACACATTAATGCAAGACATACATGGGAATCTAAAAAGAATGGCTTTGCTTGTGCTAATCTGGCAACGTAGGGATTACCTAGCAAATAACTAAAGTTTTGTTATTATAGAAAGGAAACAATTCTGTCGCTGTGTGCACCACATAAAAAGCTATCAAGGTTAAAAATATCCTTGTACAATTGGTGGAAAAGCAGTTGTGCCAATAAGCAATGCTTTCATCTGCCATAATAATGAGTGATTAGGCCTACCCTGGTGTCATCTTAGCCCTTCTAGCAAATAACGGAGTTGGCAAGTAACCTTTTCACCCATGGTAACATTAATATTGTGGTACTACCATATCTTGTTGTGTTAGAGATGGGCTAGTACCCATTTGTTACTAGGAAAAAATTACTAATTTGTCTTTGTTTTATTTTCTTTTAGTGCCTGGAAGCAATGAAACTTTCATGGCCCCTGGCCAAATACCAAACAGCAGCATGCCAGAGATGTACAATCAGACTCCCTCTGGAGTGATTACCAGTATGGGTATGAGTCAGCGCCAGCAATTTCCATATGGACCTGGAAGCTATGATAGAAGGTTAGTACATTATACAGTCAGTGACAAATCAATACTTTCTGAGCTATAGTTGTTTTCAACCACACCTTTATAATGATTCCTCATAATCATCTTCCCTTACTATAGTAATTTTAATTGAAGTTTGTTGCCCAGACTAAATAACCAATACCATTTATTGGTAAGATACATTAATTAATGTTAAGCTTCTTCAAAAAATATAGACATTTAAACAGTCTTGCATGACTTTGCCCTGTGGTGACAGGGTCACTTTGTGAGGCTTCCAAAGATGGTTGAGATCACCCTCACCTGCAGTCAATGATAAATGCACAGTAAAAAAAAACTGAAAAAAATAGATGAGTATGGCTCAACTGAATAATGAAGGTATGGAGGGGATGGAAATCTGTCTATATTAATACATGGTGTGGTCAAGATGTTCTCTAATAATTAGATTTGTGCTGCTTTCACCCTTGTGCCATTTTATCATCACAGTTGTAGCTGGTAATCGATAACTCAGACAAAGGTTTCACCACTGTGAAAAACCTGTAGCTGTTCTAAATGCAATGTAAAATTGTTTATAGCATATATCATATGTAATAAATCTGACCTGTGTAATAAAAATGACAACTTTTTAATGGAACATTATTCATTAGAGCTTCGCTATGAATTTCTTTTTAAACCATGTTATATCATTAAAAGCTTATACTGAAAAGTCAAAGTTGTTTGTCGCTAGGACTTGCACAGTTAAATTGTGTTTAACCATTATGTAATTGACCTTTCTATATGAATTTAATTAAATATAATTTATATGCTTATCCTTTGATATTATGGCTGAATGTTCTTTTAGGTCAGAATATGGCATAGGTGCTGAAAGCACAATGGGACCGCCTGGTCAAAACAACATGGGGCCTTCAAATAGTGATCCAAGCATGTATTCACCAAATCGTTTTCAAGGACAACAAAGGTAGGCAAAAGGACAGCCAATAACATTTGTTGAAAACCCAAGTATTGCATGTGTCTCCTAAAGTGGAACTCTAAATTAAAAAATATTATCCCCATAGAACTGCTTGCAGTCCCTGAGTTACAAACATCCAACTTACAAATGGAGAAAGACAACAGGAAGTGAGAGGAAATCTACCCCTAGGAAGGGAAGTTCATTCCTATAAGAGTTATCATGGGAAAAAGGTGTCTCCACTGAAGCTTTATTACCAATTCTTGTTTCCGCAACAACCCAAAATTTCCAAATTCCAATTGTCACAGGGACAGAAAGTGAGGTGCCATCTTCTGAACAGGGGTGAAGACAAAACCAGCATTACAGGAGTGTTGACCCTTCTGTATGCTACCCAAAAAAATTAAAACCGTTTATTTTTTTGCTGGAGTTACACTTAAAAATGTTTCAACTTGCATACAAATTCAACGTAAGAAAAAACCTACAGGACCTATTTTGCTTGTAACCCAGGGACTGCCTGTGTGTATATACACTATATTGCCAAAAGAATTGGGACACCCCTCCAAATCATTGGATTTGGGTGTTCCAATCACCTCCATGGCCACAGGTGTATAAAATCAAGCACCTAGGCATGCAGACTGTTTCTACAGACATTTGTGAAAGAATGGGTCTCTTCCAGGAGCTCAGTGAATTCAAGCGTAATACCATGATAGGTTGCCACGTGTGCAATAAGTCCATCCGTGAAATTTCCTTGATACTAAATATTGCACGGTCAACTGTTAGCTGTACTATAACAAAGTGGAAGAAACTGGGAACAACAACAACTCAGCCACAAAGTGGTAGGCCATGTAAAATGACAGAGCGGGGTCAGTGCATGCTGAAGTGTACAGTGCGCAGAAGTTGCCAACTGTCTGCAGAGTCAACAGCTAAAGAACCTCCAAACTTCATGTGGCCTTCAGATTAGCACACAACAGTGTGCAGAGAGCTTCATGGAATGGGTTTCCATGGCTGAGCAGCTGCATCCAAGCCTTACATCACCAAGTGCAATTCAAAGCATCGGATGCAGTGGTGTAAAGCACGTTGCCACTAGACTCTAGAGCAGTGGAGATGTGTTCTCTGGAGTGACGAATCATCCTTCTCTGTCTGGCAATCCAATGGACGTGTCGGAGTTTGTCGGTTGCCAGGAGAACGTTACCTGCCTGACTGCATTGTGTCATATGTAACGTTTGGTGGAGGGGGAATTATGGTGTGTGGTTGTTTTTTCAGGGGTTGGGCTTGGTCGATTTAGTTCCAGTGAAGGGAACTCTTAAGGCATCCGCATACTAAGACATTTTGGATAATTTCATGCTCCCAACTTTGTGGGAACAGTTTGGGGATGGCCTCTTCCTGTTCCAACATGACTGTGCACCAGTGTTCAAAGCAAGGTCCATAAAGACATGGATGAGGGCATTTGAGGTGGAGGAACTTGACAGGCCTGAACCTAACCTCAACCTGATGAAACACCTTTGGGATAAATTAGAGCGGAAAAACTGGGAGCCAGGCCTTCTCGTCCGACATCAGTGCCTGACCTCACAAATGCGCTTCCGGAAAAATGGTCAAACATTCCCATAGACACACTCCTAAACCTTGTGGACAGCCTTTCCAGAAAAGTTGAAGCTGTTATAGCTGCAAAGTGTGGGCCAACTCAATATTGAACTCTACGGACTAAGACTGGGATGCTATTAAAGTTCATGTGCATGTACATTCAGGTTTCCCAATACTTTTGGCAATGTAGTGTATGTATGTATGTGTGTATGTATATGTATATATATATATATATATATATATATATTATATATATATATATAATATATTATATTATATATATATATATATATTTTTTTTTTTTATATTTGTGTCTATAATCTTAAACATTAGATCTCAGGCTGGGATAGGGCATACTCCTAGCCCAGCAGACCACTCTGACAATAGCAGTGCTACCACTCTTAACACTGGGAACTTGTTGATAAGAGGAAATGGCATAATACTGACATCATCGCTGTATTGCAAATTCATTTCAAAAGAAGCAGGCCAGTGGTAGGTCGTAAACACACTGTAATCATATCATACTCCTAGCTCTGCTTTCTGTCAGGTACCTTGATCACAGTACTGGGTGAACTGCCAATCTTTTATCAGATAAAGCAATTGATAAATATGTCTCTTCAAGCCACATTTAGGATCCCCTCTCAACCAATGGACCACCCCACACTTTTTAAAACAAACCATATACATACCTTTTTCCAGTTATCTTTAGTGCAGTCTTGTGACATCACAGGTCCTCATCATCCTTGTCTTCCTGTACTGGTGATTAGATACTAAATGCTGCACACAGCCTTGCCTCTTAGGCTACGTTCACACTAGCGTTGTGTGCAGGCGGCTGAGAGACGTTTGGGAAGCGTTTTTATCGCTTCCCAAACGCCTCTGCCAATTCTGCACATTACAGCACATGGTGCTGTTCTAACGGGAGCGTTTGCGTCGCGGCAAAATGGACACCTCTGGTCGAGTCAGGAGGCGTTGAAGCCTCCTATTCTAGTCTATGGTGCCGCTCCACAAACGCCCGGCCGGCGTTTGCGGTGCGGTTGTGACGCGGTTGCGGGGCGTTTGCGGAGCGGTAACACCACTCAAACTGCATTATAGGCATTTGTGGGGAGTTAACGCTTTGCAAACGTCTAGCATCCGCCGCTAAACCGCGCATGCGTCGTTTGCGGAGCGTTTGCCGAGCGTTAAAAAAACGCTCCGCAAACGCCGGACCAACGCTTGCCAAACGCTATAGGGGCGTTTGGCAAGCGTTGGTAAAACAGCCAAGTGTGAAAAAGCCCTTAAAGATGTAGGTAAGACAGTATTTGTTATTAGACACTTGGGGCCAGTGCCTTTTGATGGTGATAGGACACCAGGAATAGTCAGGGCTGTCTAAACAGGTGTATAATCAATGGGGCACTTTGTTGAATAGTTTTTTTACTTTGCTAGGTAATACTGCATTTCATGTAGTTTAAAGAATATAAAGAGTTTTTTTTTTTTTTTACCTTATATACATCTACTTTGTGCTTTATTATGTAAGGATCTGATGATTCCTGAATAATGCTCTTTATTCCTGTGCAGGTAGATAGAATGTAAGTTGTTCCACATAAAACTAGAGTCTTTTTTGTAGTAAATCAAAGTAAATTGCTGACTGTCTACGAAAAAAAATGCCTCTTTTATTGCATCAACAATAAGTGAAAGATGTTCTATCAATAGAGGTATCTAGACTAGCAGAATAGGAGAAAGATGTTAAATGGGTGTGAAGAATGAACATTCCAATAAAAGCGGTTCAATAGGATAGAACATATCTAAAGTGCATAGACCTTCAGCGATTTATTCATCAAGAGAGAAAATAAAAATGATGGAATCTTTGCCTTTAGTCTCAGGCTATAGTGGAAATAGAAGCTTTCTTTCTATCTTCTGACCTAATAAAAGGGGGATAAATAATTTCATGTGGACCAAAGGCCAATGACCTGAATTTGGTTGTAAAATGCAAAAGATAAAAAAGTATTGTTAATAGTAATAGTAGTTAATGTGATTGACAGATATTCAAGCTGAACCCCAGGCATGCTGCTAAATATACAAAAAATATATATTTCTACCCATAAAGGGATTTGTTTTTCTGTCCATCTAGTCCTGTGATTTACACAGCTGTGCTGCACAACCCTGTCTGGCAGGGCAGGAGACCTGAGTTTTATCTGCTGTAATTAAAGTGGTAATAAACCCAAAAACCTAAATTTAATATAGCAAATTATCAACAATTTTTTGGTATATTGTAAATATATTTTTAAAAGGGGATGTTTTAGCTTTGTGATGAAAAATGTAGTTGCGCTTATTGGTGTCTACAGTGGTTTCCCCTCTTTAGTAATCAAGTTGCTCACATTGACAACATTTTTTGGCCCCCATTTCCAGTTTCTTCTTCAATCGGTTTCTATTAAGCTGTCACATGGAGAACAAAATAAATCATCAATTGCTTTTAAAGGCAGTCACCCCATTAAGGTCAATGGCTAAATAATTTCCCAGTAACTGTGATGGAGTGAGGGGGACTAATATGTTAGTATGTTTTTGTCTAAGCAGGCCCGAACTGGCTATAAGGCACACCGGGCATTTGCCTTGTGGGCTGGGGCTGCCTGTTCTCAGTGGTAACTGCCTATCAGTACAGACAGTGTGAGGTTCCTCTCTCTCCCTCTGTATTGCCACTCCGTGAGACACTTCGGAGGAACTGTAGTTACTGCCCAGTCCCTGGCTTCTGTGACACAAGATCTGTGTGAATCGAGTTGCAGGCACACAGAGATCTTCTGGGCTGTAGGGGTGGGATCAGAAAGGAAATCTCCCCTGCTGTTCTGACTGATGAACTGATGAGACATGTGAGTTCTGTGAATTTGGCAGGTGGAGGGGACTGTGACAGACTGAATTATGGAGGGCACAGAATAGCCTGGGAGAAGGAATTAGAGGGCACAGAATAACCTGGGGGGGGGGGGGGGTTATAGAGGGCACATGATAATGTGGGGGGAGGAATTATGGAGGACAAAGAATAACCTGGGGGGGGGGGAATTATGAATGGCACAGAATAACCTGGGGGGGGATTATAGAGGGCACAGAATAACCTGGCGGGGGGGGGGAGGAATTATGGAAGGCAGAGAATAACCTGGGTTAGGAATTATAGTGGGCACAGAGTTACCTGAGGGGGAGGAATTATAGTGGTCACATAATAACCTGGGGGGAGGAATAATGGAAGGCACAGGATAACCTGGGGGGGGGGAATTATGGAGGGCACAGAATAACCTGGGGGAGGAATTATGGAGGGCACAGAATAACCTGGGGGAGGAATTATAGTGGGCACAGAGTTACCTGAGGGGGAGGAATTATAGTGGTCACATAATAACCTGGGGGGAGGAATAATGGAAGGCACAGGATAACCTGGGGGGGGGGGGATTATGGAGGGCACAGAATAACCTGGGGGAGGCATTATGGAGGGCACAGAATAACCTGGGGGAGGAATTATAGTGGGCACAGAGTTACCTGAGGGGGAGGAATTATAGTGGTCACATAATAACCTGGGGGGAGGAATAATGGAAGGCACAGGATAACCTGGGGGGGGGGGGGGATTATGCAGGGCACAGAATAACCTGGGGGAGGCATTATAGTGGGCACAGAGTTACCTGAGGGGGAGGAATTATAGTGGTCACAGAATAACCTGGGGGGGCAGGAATAATGGAAGGCACAGGATAACCTGGGGGGGGGGGAATTATGGAGGGCACAGAATAACCTGGGGGAGGAATTATAGTGGGCACAGTGTTACCTGAGGGGGAGGAAGTATAGTGGTCACAGAATAACCTGGGGGGAGGAATAATGGAAGGCACAGGATAACCTGGGGGGGGAATTATGGAGGGCACAGAATAACCTGGGGGAGGAATTATAGTGGGCACAGAGTTACCTGAGGGAGATGAATTATAGTGGTCACAGAATAACCTGGGGGGGGGGAATAATGGAGGGCACAGGAGAGTTACATGAGGGGGAGGAATTAGTGGTCACAGAGTTACCTGAGGGGGAGGAATTATAATGGTCACAGAGTTACCTGAGGGGGAGAAATTATAGTGGGCACAGAGTTAGCTGAGGGGGAGGAATTATAGTGGTCACATAGTTACCTGAGGGGGAGGAATTATAGTGGGCACAGAGTTACCTGAGGGAGATGAATTATAGTGGTCACAGAATAACCTGGGGGGAGGAATAATGGAGGGCACAGGAAAGTTACATGAGGGGGGAATTAGTGGTCACAGAGTTACCTGAGGGGGAGGAATTATAGTGGTCACATAGTTACCTGAGGGGGAGGAATTATAGTGGGCACAGTTAACTGAGGGGGAGGAATTATAATGGGCACAGAGTTAGCTGAGGTGGAGGAATTATTGTGGGCACAGAGTTACCTGAGGTGGAGGATTTATTTGGGGGACAGAGTTACCTGAGGGGGATGATTTATAGTGGGCACAGAATTACTTGACGGGGAGGAATTTTTTATCAAGCAATGGTGCCCCACTAATGATCTTGTGCATGAGTCCACTGAATTCATAAAACGCTCCTGATAATCATCACCCTGCCCCCCCAGTACAGATACTAACCCATTTCTGCCTGATATTGACCCCTTTCTAATTGCCCCCTTATCATTAACCCCTTACTGCCCTGATATCATTAGAAAATGGTCTGCTCAGCCTAAAAGCCTGCTCCTATTTTTTGTCCCGGTCCGGGCCTGCGTCTAAGTGTGATGAAGTATGCAGTGACAGCATCATAGAGTGCTGTTACAATTTCAGAGGGAGGTAAAGTGACAGAACAGAGAAAGGAGAACAGTTTCATAGGAAAGATGGGAAGGGGTGTTGTGGCTGACAGCATACATTGCACATCCGTATCAGTAGGACAATTTTGATGTTGGTCAAAAGTGGGTGGGCAGAAATGATTCCCCCAGGGAGCTCAAATCCTTTCTGTTTTGGGGCATGGTATAATTCAGTTTAGCTGATCATTTCTCAGTGGTCATAGTCTGATTGATCCAATTTTGAAAATTAGGTCAGCAATTTAAATTGGTTTAAGGTGACTGCCTCTGGTTTGTTATTAAGTAAAGCATTGCTCAGGTCTCTATTCAAATACTTGCCAAGGACTATAGCTATTAATTGAGCACTTCTCCTGAACAACCAACACATTGTCACCAAATATGCCAGAAGTTGTCTAGGTCTACACATCCATGAAAGTGCTGGGGGTGAGGATAGCTCTCCATGCATATAGAAAACCAGTGCAGAAGTTTCCTGTCAGAATGCATTTTAAGAGCAAGATCTAGAGGTGCTCTATATCTGTTGACATATTTTAAAAGCAGATATCTACGCCAGCTTCCCACTTTTTCACATATGGTGAGGGAATCTTGAAGGCAGAGGTTAAAAGGGGATTAGTAAAGCAGTGATATTTGTCCAAGACCCTATTTCCAATTTCAGTTTAAGGTAACATTTTAATAAAATGAACAAAACAAAATTGAAAAAGGCCATTATGGGACGTAGCACATAGGAGCCTGTTATATGCCTTTACAGTCTGTCACTCTGTGTTGGGTATTTTTCTATGTCAAGGTAACATTTTAATCTAAGTAGACAAATTATTTTTGTAATTTAGAGTGTAGAAAATAACAAAAATTTCAGTGTTGGGTATAAACAAACGCCCCTTCAGAGTTAATCACTGATTGTATCACCTCTTGCTGAATTAAAGAGATCCTGTCATCAAAAAAGTTGCAGGTATAAATGCAGGTCCCTTTAGGGTCCAGACTGTCCCTATGTGAAAAAATCAGCCTAAAGAATAAGTTCACTGTTTTGACAGTGAGCGGGAGATGTCCCCCCTCGCTGTCACAATAAAACAAAAGCTCCCCCCAGCCAGTATTCTGTCAATGAGAAAACTACAAGTACTGACAGCCTTTGCTACACAGATAGTCTGCAGGACTGTGGCATTACACCCATGCTAACAAAAATATATTAAATGCATATTTTTTTTTACCTGCATAAAATGTCCATTTATCATTTTTTTGTAAAGGTGAACTTATCCTTTAAAAGCCAATAGGAATTTGCAGGAGGCAGGAAGTGCTGAAGCTTTGCCTGTCAGAATATTCCAGCATTCAGATGTAAAAGCAGGGTATTCAAGGTTATCTTTGACCTTAATACTTTGAGTCTCTGATCTAGAACAACTATGCAGCAAGTCAGAGTGAACTCAGAATTCCTGATCTGCATACTTTTTTTTAAGTTCGTGACGTAGAATGTATTGAAATACTTTTGCTCTGTAAACAAAACTGCTAATTTTTGAGCATGAACAGCACTTGCCAGATTTCCACACAACATCTGAATTGGATTCAGTTGAGAACTTGACTAGATCGTCAACAAATTGGTAACTTCTCACAAACCCAAGTAGATAGGCCATTGCAAATGTTAGGATCCAATATTAAATTCTGGAAAAGCTGCCTGAACCGTGCACATGCTTGGAATTATTTTAATAATGTACAAGGCACTCATGCCTTCCATTTGTTTGAATCTGGGTCCCATTACCTTCAGGATGTCCCTGTCTGCCTGAAGCAAATGTTCTACCTATACTTGCATGGCATTTCTCTGGCTGCTTTCCCTTGCAGCCCAACAATCTTCTGTGTGAATAATTGCCTTTCAACCAAATTGGTCCTAGTGGGCCTGTCTAAGTTGGGAAGATTTTGTTTCAGGAGCAGATACTGATGTCAAAAGATATATGTAAAGCTGGGAAGAATGTTTCAGGGAAACCTGCCTTATGAGGGATTTACAAGCATTTTTACACAAGAAAACCTAATACAAAATAACAAAGCTGCAAAATATTTTATCCATTATTGGAACATAATAATAAACATAATTGTTGTTGCCTTGTGTTCCAGGCATGAAACCTATGGACAGCAGTATCCTGGGCAAGTTCCCTCTTCAGGACAACCACCCTATGGAGGGCACCAACCAGGAATGTACCCACAGCAGCAAGTAAGTTTATGGAATAGTTCATGTAATATTCCATTCAGTATAATAGAAAAGTTGGAAATGTATTTGTTAGACAACTGCTTGTGTGACAACTGCGGAGTTACTGTACATCCAATAAACTTAAGCGTTAAAGCATCTTTTATAAAAGATTGTTTGACACAGTGTTTAAAATTTTAGTAAACCCTCTGTCTCAGAAATTGTTGCATAGAACTCATTACAGTATATTCAAAGGTCATTGCAATAATCAGATTCATGTAGCTCAGTTTACATTTTCAAAAACTTGATGGTTAGTGCTATGTGTTTATAGATTGGGATCCTGTTTGGTGCATTCACTCTAAAATGTTATCACTGAAATGATTGACACTGGCTGTGGGGTTGATCACAAGGGACATAACTAAATTCTTTCAAATGAAGTGCTCTGTTTCCCTAAATGCTATAGATGGATCAAAATTCATGTGGTTCAGAAGGAACCAGATAAATTGTGATCCCTGTATGGCTGCCCTGGTTTGACAGAAGTCGATCTAGCGATCAACATTTGTCGAACAGGACTATTGGAAAACCTTTGTTGATTAGCCACTGCAGCCAATCAACTGTACTCGCTGATCAGTGTATTCTGACAGTGGAGGCCAGCTTAAGACCTTCCAAAGATGCTTATAAGTATTTTTTTGAACTCTACCAAGTTGTCCCAAATAAGAATACTCTTGCGCAACATATATCTCAATTTGCTTCAAAAGCTAGAGGATAGTAGGTTCATTTGCAATAAAAGAAAAATTTATGTCAAGGCATTTCCAAGCAAAAATGTCTCAAAAAGCAATAGAAAAATGGTATAAAACTTAATTTGGGTTTTAATGATATAGCTAGCTCTAGTAGAGCAGTACCAGTAGAGCAGAAATAATACATATGACGTACGTCATTCTGAATGGACCCTCTGTTTTTGTCACTACTCTTTGTATGCTCTTTCTGGATCATATCATGCGAAATTATGTATGCATACTTTTTTATGAAAAGTTATAATAGCTCTAGACTAAACACATTATATGGTGGGCAATGGTGCAAACCACATAATACTGTATAAACCTATATATGAGGTGCAGCGCTTAAAACATATGAAATATAATAATGTGTCAAAAAAAGTACAAATTAAACATACGTATATCTCAGTGCAACCAATATGGTAATAAACAAAAAGTCATTCCAGTATAAATCTGTATATCAGTGATGTGATACTAATAATCACAGCAAATTGTGTTTGATTCCACACAGTGCTCTGGGGTCCAATGTGCAATCCACCACCACTGTGCACTCACCACAGGGCTACTTGTTCGGTAGCAAATATAACAAGAGATCTGTATTATCCACTCTCTGACATCTGTTGGTCCTGTTACATCCTAAAAGGAAATGCTCACCACACGGAGCCTGGAAAACGGTGTATATAGTGTAGTATTTATTTAAAACTATGCATAAAAGCATTCCATCTGGAAAACAGTAAAACATTTAAGTATGCCACATACCAAGATGGTTGCCGTTCCAAGCACGGACTCGGCGGCGTGATATCAGCACGTAGGCTCCATCCAACGCATTTTGTGCACACACACACGCCCTCAGAGGTATGCCCATTGCTGACGTCAGAAGCAAACACTGTTTAAATAGCCTGCAAGGTGATCCTCTAATTACCGGGCACCATTTTGTGGTAGTCTATGCCAGAAGCCATTGTTTAGAAGGAATATTTAGTAAACAAAAATGTCCTAAGAAATTACTACATTATATCAATATAGGGCACTGCGCGCCTACAAATACCTGGCACAATTTTGTTGCAGTCTATGTCAGAAGCCATTGTTTAGAAGAAACATTTAGTGAACAAAAATGTATTCAAGAAATACCACATTATATCACTGTAAGGCACTGAGCATCTTTATGTTCTTTTATATATTTAATACAATTAACGGCTGGAAGCCATTTTATCGGCAATTCATATCTAATAAATGTAAATGCATCCAAAATCTGTAAGATATATCACTATGGTGTATTATTTATCCGTACCATTCATTTGGTGATAAAAACTAGCACCATCAGGTAATTAATATATCCTTCATACATGGCAATTATCATCTGATTCACAGTGTAAAGTGATACTACATTATGAGATCAATCAGAAAATTATATATAACAAAATGTAAACAAAAGGAAGAAAAAAAATATATTAGAATGTTGCTGCCCTAAAAATTTTAAGGCATACAAACTCGCAATACTGATTAAAAAGAAGGCTATTTAGATCAGTGTAGAATATTATAGTTGTTACATTTACAGCAGAGTAAATGCATACAAAAAAATGAGAAAAGAACCTATGTCACTTCAGCTATTATATATAAAGCAGTTAATATCAATATCTACATTCAATCCTCGAGGCACCAATGTACACATCTCATGAATCCATTTGGTTTCGAGTTTGGACACTTCTCTATTCTCTCATGAGAGATGGGATGAGGGAACATTTGTACAACATAAAAAAGGGATTTAAGGAGCATTTTTTATCGAAACATTTAGAGATTGCCACTGGAGAAACCCAAATGGTATTAGGTTTACGGGAATTGATATTATACATCCTCACTGGCAGGGATGCAATAAATGCAGAGAGGTGTACAAACTTGAAACCAAATGGATTTATGAGATGTGTACATTGGTGCCTCGAGGCTTAAATGTAGATATCGATATTAACTGCTTTATAGATAATAGCTGAAGTAACATAGGTTATTTTCTCCTTTTTTGTATGCATTTACTCTGCTGTAATTGTAACAATTATAATATTCTACACTGATCTAAATAGCCTGCTTTTTAATCTGTATTGCGAGTTTGTATGCCTTTAAAATTTTAGGGCAGCAACATTCTAATATATATTTTTTTTCTTCCTTCTGTATACATTTTTTATATATCGTTTTCTGATTGATCTCATATTGTAGTATCACTTTACACTGTGCGACAGATGATAATTGCCATGTATGAAGGATATATTAATTACCTGATGGTGCTGGTTTTTATCACCATATGAATGTTATGGATAATTAATACACCATAGTGACATATCTTACAGACTTCGGATGTGTTTACATTTATCAGATATGAATTGACGATAAAATGGCTTCTAGCCGGTGTTAATTGTATTATATAAAAATACATAAAGATGCTTCGTGCCTTATAGTGATAAAATGTGGTATTTCTTTAATACATTTTTGTTCAGTAAATGTGTCTCCTAAAAAAAATGGCTTCTGACTACAACAAAATGGTGCCCAGTAATTGTAGGCACGCAGTGCCCTATAGCAATATAATGTGGTAATTCCTTAGGACATTTTTGTTTGCTAAATATTCCTTTCAAATAATGGCTTCTGGCATGGATACAACAAAATGGCGCCCGGTAATTGCAGGCGAGCATCGCAGGCTATTTAAACAGTGTTAGCTTCTGACATCGGCAATGGGCAAACCCCTGAGGTCGTGAGTGTTCAAGAAACGAATTGGGTGGAGCTTACGTGCTGACGTCACGCCGCCGGGTCCATGCTTTGCAACGGTGGCCATCTTGGTATGTGGCATAGTTAATGTTTTACTGTTTTCCATGTGGAATGCTTCTGTGCATAATTTTAAATAAATACTACACTATATACACCATTTTCCGGGCTCAGTGTGGTGAGCATTTCCTTTTACGATGTAACGGGACCAACAGATGTCGGAGAGTGGATAATACAGATCTCTTGTTATATTTGCTACCAAACAAGTAGCCCTCTGGTGAGTGCACAGTGGTGGTGGATTGCACATTGGACCTCAGAGCACTGTGTGGAATCAAACATGATTTGCTGTGATTATTAGTATCACATCACTGATATACAGATTCATACTGGAAGGACTTTTTGTTTATTACCATATTGGTTGCACTGAGAGATATGTATATGTAATTTATACTTTTTTTGACACGTTATTTTATTTCATATATTTTATGCACTGCGCCTCATATATATGTTTGTTCATTGAGATCTGTTGTCACGGTCTCTGGTGCTAGCTGCTCCTACTTGTATAGCGCTCACCATTTGCATTTTGACATAATACTATATGTCAATAGTTTTGAACATAACCATGAGTTGCTGTCCTTTTTCAGTATTTAGTTTGTCATTTGTTTGTCTTGGATACTAATCGTAGAAACCTATGGTATGTGGTGGTTTACAAAAATTCTGCTTTATTTAATTTTAGAACTTCAAACGCCATATGGATAGTATGTATTGTCCTTCGTCAAAGCGCCATGAGGGAGACATGTACAGTATGCAGTATAGTAGCCAGCAGCAGGATGTGTACAATCAATATGGCAACACATACTCTGGACCTGAAAGGAGGCCAATGCAAGGACAGTATTCCTTCCCTTACAACAGAGAGAGGATGCAGGGCCCAGGACAAATGCAGCAGCATGGCTTGGGACCTCAAATGATGGGTGGACCAGTGCAGTCATCTTCAGCCGATGGTACTCAGCAGAATATGTGGCCCTCACGCAGTGACATACCCTATCAATACCAAGGAAGACCAGGCCCTGCTGGCACACAACAGCAAGGAACTTATCCAACTATGAACCGTACCGATGATATCTTGGGATCTGACCAAAGAATGAATCATGAGGGTCCTTGGCCATCTCACGGAAACCAACGGCAGCCTTCCTACATGTCCCCATCTGGATCCATGCAGCCAAACACTAGGGCTCCGCCTTCATCTTACCAGACCCCACCTTCAATGGCAAATCACATTTCAAGGGCTTCTAGCCCTGCCTCATTTCAGCGTTCTCTAGAAAACCGTATGTCACCAAGCAAATCTCCTTTCTTGCCATCTATGAAAATGCAGAAAGTTATGCCCTCAGTTGCATCATCTCAGACGTCTGGGAATTCATCATCTATCGCCAGGCGTGAAATTACTTTTCCCCCTGGCTCAGTGGAAGCAACTCCGCCAGTCTTGAAGCCAAGGAGAAAAATTACCTCAAAAGACATTGGTAAGAGCAAACAAAGTTTAATTAGGTTTATTTATTAATTTATTTTAAATTAATATTTTAAAATGTATTTATAAGCATTATATTTTTCATTGTACATGATGATTTGTCAAATTCAAAATAGTATTTAAGGTGATTTCTTAAATACATGTAAATAGGAAATTGTTATTGCTGTTTTAGGAAGCCATTTCCCATGGGACAGATATAAACAACAAGTAGGATTTCATATGAAATAACTGAATATACATTGCTTTTATTGTAAACTGATGCAGTGTTTGGTATAGGCACATACTGTCATCAGGACATTCAATAATACTTAATGAAATGTGCAATAAAAAAATATTATCTTATTAAGAGAGGTTTTTTTAAATGCACCACATATAATATACATTAAATAAAAGAAACTATATAAATATTTATCTGTAGAATGTTATCTATATATAAGTAAAGAACAGACCAGTATTGCCTGTGGTCTCCTTGTAGCTGTTCCCCATCTTTTACTGACTTACAGTGATTTCACACTGTGCCTCTGTGTGGAGGTGAACATCTTGGTAAAAGGAGCAGGGCTTTGTTTTCTCAGAGCTGCCCCCTCTGATGAATGGTAATCTGTGCATTTTGAAGTTTAATTCAACAGTCATCAGAAGAGGTTCAGGAATCACAGATCCACACAGTGGATGAAGCACAGGCAGGCAGATTCTTCCACTGCAGGTTCTAATGTACATATTTCTCTATAGCAAGCAGTGCAGTTATGAAATCACTAAATCAAATTTCAAATCTCATGATACTAAAATTCAAAGGCAGCAGTGTGCAGTATCTTAGATGACATCACACTGTAGATATACAGCTATGAGGCTCAAGACATGGGAGAGCCTGGCAGGAGGAAGTGGACTACTATTTTTTTTTGTAAGAAATTAAAGGCAAAAGGGTACATTTTACCAGTGCTGTTAAGGCACAATTCACATATTTTCATCTTCACATTTTAAGTTTGGCTCCACTTTAATGACATTTGGAGTCTAGAGTCCAATGTAATACCTTTTGAAAGTGCCACAGATTTGTTAGAGCAATTTGTTTTATGTCTGTACTTAAAATACTGAAGGTAACAATGCAGAAAATTAAATAGCACCAATAGACACCCATATGTTATCTAGAGAACTGGATAGAAACACCTAAAGAATGATGTTAAAATGTGTGGAGCAGGACTACAATAAAAGTGATCTGCAGTTATGGTATGTGATATCTTTCTTGCTTATCTATGATAGAGGAAGAGGTGGGTGCCTGCAGCCACTATTTAGGTTTGTATGCCCTAGAAAATGCTTTGAAAACCTGTAGAACATGGGATTGATTTACTATAGCATGTTTACTTTGCAAAGGGAGTTTTCACTTAGCTTATTGAATGTGGTCCAAAAAAAATCCCTTATCGTTCTTTACCTCATGTACTAAGTTAAGGGAAATTCCTTTGCAAAGTAAAAGTTCACTTTGCTAGGTAAACAGCCTTTGCCCTTAACAAATCAACCCCCATGCCTCTAAGGCTAATGACTATTTCCTGTGTTACTTTTTAAATAGCAAATCTTTTGCATCAATGTGGTGGACTGGGTTGATAAACTACTGGGAGGGGGCTGGGCATGAACCAGCTGTCTTGGTTCATGTTGGAACCAATGACAGAATACATGGAAGGTGGAGGCTCCTTAAGAATCAATTTAAAGAACTAGGCTGCAAGTTGAAGGGAAGGACCTCCAAGGTGATATTCTCTGAAATATTACCTGTTCCATGTGCAACTCAGGAAAGACGGGAAGATTAGAGAACTCAATGCATGGTTGAAGACCTGGTGTAAGGACCTGGGAAGGATTTGGGTTTCTAGAGCACTGGGCTGACTTTTCATTGGGGTGCAACCTATATGCGAGAGGTGGTCTGCACTTAAATGGAAGGGGAGTCTGCTGTGCTGGGGGAGAGGTTTATGGGAAGGCTGGAGGAGTATTTAAACTAGGATTGAGGGGGGAGGGAGAATTAGATTATAAAGGGGTAGACAGATCAGACAGGGGTCAGTACTTATTGGTGGGTGGAATGGGGAAAGATGGGGGGAAGGCTATGGCAGATGATGAGAAGGTTCCCATGTTACAAACAACCAGTGGAATTGGTACCATTTGTATGAAAATAAAAAATATGCAAAATGCGTGTGAACAAGGTGTCAATCAATTAAAGTGTTTGTTCACCAATGCCAGAAGTCTGCCAAGTAAAATAGGTGAGTTGGAAGCTTTGTTGCATGAAGAGAACTATGATTTAATTGGTATTGCTGAATCTTGGCTTCATTCTTTGCATTACTGGGTCATTAATATTCCCGTCTATGTTCTCTTTCGGAGAGACAGACTAAATAGGAAAGGTGATGGTGTCTGTCTCTTGTGAGAAGTGATCTCAGAGCGAGTGTGAAAGAGGACCTTGTTGATGGAGAGTGTGATGATGAGCTGAAGTATTATGGGTGGAACCGCACATGGGGGTGCATACTACAAAGGTAATCATTAGAGTTTGTTATAGGCCTTCCAGTGTTATTGAGGAGGTGGAAATTGACTGGAGTAATAGTACTGCAGGAACAGTTAAAGGGCAAACATTTTTAAACCTACTACAGGACAATTTTATGCTACAGTTCATAGAGGCCCCTACTAGGAATGATGCTCTGCTGGACCTGGTAATCCCAAACCATGTAGAGCTTATTACGAATGTCCATATAAAATAACATCTGGGTAGCAGTGACCATAACATGATTTCATTTATTTTTGGCTGTAAACAGCAAGCACATACGGGAAAAATAAAAATGCTCAATTTCAAGAGAGCTAATTTTCCAAGGCTGAGAGCTGCTCTCCAATATATAGACTGGGAGGGAATATTGGCATTGATGAACACAACACAGAAATGGGAGTTCTTCAAAAAGACTGTATGTTAACACATTGCAAAATATATTCCCATGGGCAACAAGTTTAAAAGGCTAAAAATCAAACCTATGTGGCTTACGGCCAAAGTTAAAAAGGCTATAGATAATAAGAAAAGAGCTTTTATTCAGTATAAAAATGAAGGAACGCTATCATCGTTTAGACATTACAAAGAATATAACAGGATATACAAAAAGGAAATAAAGGCCGCAAAAACTGAAATCGAATGACAGATTGCAAAAGATAGCAGGACCAACCCCAAAAAATTCTTCAAATATGTTAATAGTAAAAAAAGGTTCGGTCCGAGCATGTAGGCCATTTACAAAATAATCTAGAGTGGGTGACTGGGGGCAAAGAGAAAGAAAATGTATTAAATACCTTCTTCAGCTCTGTGTATACAAAGGAGCATGGGGGAGCTCTTGTCCATAATGGGCATGGTATTGACCTAGCTCCAGATGATCCACATTGGCTCACAATTGATATGATCCAAAAATATTTAGACAGTATAAAGGTGAATAAAGCACCTGGACTGGATTGCATACACCCACGGGTCCTTAAAGAATTGAGCTCTGTCATTTCAAAGCCATTGTTTCTAATTTTTAGGGACTCCTTAATGACTGGATTGGTGTAAGGCCAATGTGGTGCCAATATTTAAAAAGGGGTCAAAATCTTTACCAAGTTAATTATAGACCTGTTCGTTTAACTTCTATAGTTGGGAAGATACTGGAGAGTTTATTAAAAGACCACATAGATGAGTTCTTACTGGAAAAAAATGTTTTAAGCAACAGACAGCATGGATTCATGAAAGACAGAAGTTGTCAAACAAATCTGATTTCTTTTTATGAGGGGGTGAGCAAAACTGGACAGAGGGGTGGCGGTGAACATGGTATACTTGGATTTTGCAAAAGCGTTTGACACAGTTCCCCACACACGCTAATGTGTAAGGTAAAGTCTTCGAAAAATTTGTATGTAAATGGATAGAAAACTGGCTAAAAGATCGTATTCAGAGAGTAGTGGTTAATGATTCATACTCTGAATGGTCTGGGGTCATCAGTGGTGTACCCCAGGGTTCAGTGTTGGGACCCTTACTTTTTAATATACAGTATTTATGAACAATATAGGGTCTGAGATTAAAAATCCCATTTCAGTCTTTGCAGATGACACCAAGCTGTGCAGTGGAATAACGTCCTTACAGGATGTCTTCAACTTACAAGCTGACCTCAATGCACTGTTTAGTTGGGGAAACTATGTGGCAAATGAGGTTTTAATGTTGATAAATGTAAGGTTATGCACTTGGGGGCTAAGAATATGCATGCATTATAAATACTAGGGGCAGTGGTGTATTTTGGCGCACCCCCCCCCCCCTCCCTGCAGAAAGACTTTGACCAAGAACACCCTTGCCCTCCACCCGAGCCTTAAACTACCACTGCCCCCCATACACCAGCCACCATCCCCCATGGCGAGAGAGAGACACTCACCTTCACAGCTCCGGACATCCCCAGAAACAAGAGTCGGGCTGTGCATACACTGTCATGAAACCCACAGCATCTCTTAGAACCCTCCATGTCCCCATGCCACTTGTGTCCTTCTTCCATCCCTTCTTCCAAGGGGCAATGCTGCCCCCCCTGAAAAATGCCACCCTAGGCAAATGCTTTGTTTGTCTTGTGGTAAATACACCCCTGACTAGGGGGGAGTACAACTGGGGGAATCAATGATGGAGAATGATCTGGGAGTTCTGGTAGATCACAAGCTCAGTAATGGCATGCAAATGCCAAGCTGCGGTTTCTAAAGCAAGCAAAATCCTCTCTTGTATTAAGAGGTATAGACTCCAGAGAGAGAGAGATATCATATTACCCCTGTACAAATCATTCGTAAGACCTCACCTGGAATATGCAGTTCAGTTTTGGGCACCAATTCAAAAAAAGAATGCTGGGGAACTTGAGAAAGTAGAGAAGGGCAACCAAACTGATACGAGGCATGGAGGAGCTCAGCTATGAGGAAAGATTAGAGGAACTGAGTTTATTCTCTCTTGAGAAGAGGAGATTAAGGGGGGGGATATGATCAACATGTAAAAAAACATCAGTGATTACATATAGTGAACTCTGTGTAGAGCTATTCACCCCTGAGATCATCACAAAGGACAAGGGGGGGGGCACTCTTTACATCTGGAGGAAAAGATATTTAATCTCCAAACACGGAAAGGTTTCTTCACGGTGAGAGCTGTGGAATAGACTCCCTCAGGAGTTGGTTCTGGCCAGCTCAGTGGATTGCTTCAGAAAAGACCTGGATTCTTTCTTAGATACACAGAATATAACTGGATACTAACATTTATAGGTAAGGTTGATCCAGGGAATATCCAATTGCCTCTCGGGGGATCAGGAAGGAATTTTTTTTCCCAGCAGGAGCAAATTGGATCGTGCTTTGCTGGGGGGTTTTTTGCCTTCCTCTGGATCAACTGTGGGTATAGAATTATAACATTTTTTTTTTTTTATGGTTGAACTGGATGGACTTTTGTCTTTTGTCAGCCAGACTAACTATGTAACTATGTATGTAATGTCAATACATGGATCAACTATCTGCCCTATGTAGAAGAGGACCATAAAATTGTAGTTTCAAGGTCAACTTTAGGGTTACTTGTGGTTATCATAAACCAGTATCTAATAGCAACTAGGACTGCCACCAAATAATAAGACTTGAAATTTAGGCAATGCTATTCCATCTATGTCAACTGGCAATCTAAAGCATATAAAACCATTGGAATCAGGTGCTTTGGTCATATAGAGATGACAGATGTTTTTACATTTCTTTAAAGAGTTTGGCTGAATGGTATTTGATGTGTCTGTTTCCTCTAATAATTCACGTTTAGGTATTTAGCATTTTTGCATATAAGAAAAAGTAAAACAGAGCAAAAAGACATACAGTCTCGTCTATAACGTAATGCTATAGCATTTGTATTGTAAAAGTTTTTTCAGCACAACCAAAGAAGTTTACTTTCCTTTCAGAAATTGTGTATGACTTATTGCATGGATGTGAATTTATCTTACAATGTGCACTAAATCCTTGCAGTTCCAGGATACCAGCACTAATAGAAGAAAACTCCTTTTTAATGCTCTCCCCTTTTTTTTTTTTTTTTGAAGGGGAAGGAGATCTATGGTCGACTCCATTTTGAATTTCCATTTGTGACTTGCACAGGTGGTATTAAATACACACAGGAGAAGAGCTTGTTCTTCTCTGCTAGGCCTGCTATGTACTGTACACATTGTTATCCTACAAAATCAGCATAGCAAAGACATTGCCCAGCACAAGTTAAAAGCTGTTGTGTATAAAATGTTTTAAACAAATGACAAATATATATTCTAAATACGTTGCAGGTTTAAATATGAGTAACCATATGGACAGTTTTACACTCGTGACTCATTCATTTAAATTAATAATTAATTTAAAGTGTGTAATTTGGAAGAAAAAGCATTTATTATGTTTTTTTCTTTTTTTCTAGTAACACCCGAAGCTTGGAGGGTAATGATGTCTTTAAAATCTGGTCTCTTGGCTGAAAGTACATGGGCTTTAGACACCATCAACATCCTACTATTTGATGACAGTACAGTGGCAGCTTTCACCCTATCTCAGGTGGGTGTATTGCAGTTAAATATTGACTTTTACTTTGTTCTTTGGCTTTGAAATATACCATCTACAGCTTGTATTTTATATAGTTTATAGTATATGAATTTATCAAGGAGATTTGCCTCTTTCAACCATATAAACTGGGTATCAATATGACTATATTAGAATATTCAATGGTGATCTGTGTAGACAGGAAGGTGGGCAGCCATGGGTTCCCTGTACAAGCTCTTTGCTGTAGGTTCTGTACTACGGACTCGGGGCTCTCCCAAGTACATCCTTCTCCCATATTTTGTAATACTTTGAGAGTGACAATATACTCTTTCTCTCCAGCTGTGTAATGTGTTGATAGAACTATGGATGTAGAAGATTTTCACACATACCTGTGTGGGATACAGTGTAACATCATATTAGATATAAAGTTTGCAAATTAATCTGCTGGGAAATTATGCATACTAGGTGGGAATGACAGACACGAGAATAATGTATTGTTTAGCATAGTTTTTATGCTTTTCCAAGGAAATGAAATATTTTATATAGAACACTATAGGAACCTTATGGCAACTTGATAGTCCCATGTACCTTGTATGGTTTTCTGTCTTCAACTATACTTACAGCAGTTTGCACATCTTGTGTATTCTTCTGGACAAAAAGGTTGTCACCAGTTTTTGTGTTTTGTATATTACAAGTATAATTATGCTACAAACATCATTTTTTTTTATTTCTTTATTGCAAAGCTAAGTTAAAACATTTTATTTTCTATTTTATTTAACAGCTACCTGGCTTTTTGGAGCTATTGGTGGAATATTTTAGGAAATGCCTCATTGATATCTTTGGGATATTGAAGGAGTATGAAGTTGGGACAAATGTTTGTGATGTTCTTGAAAATGACTTAGATGATAGTCCATCTACAGAGGAAGAAGAAGCTGCTATGGATTATGAAGAGGATACAGAGGAGGATGAGGTTATTGAAGAAAATGAACCTGATCAGGATAATGACAGTGTATTAGATGAGAAAGAAAACATAAAACCAGATGAAAAAATCACCCCATGCATAAAACCTGAAATGTTAGTAAGTCAAAGTGAGAAGCCAAAACAAGCAAGTAAGTTTGATAGACTGCCAATCAAAGTTGTAAAGAAGAATGATCTATTTGTGATTGACCGATCTGACCGACTTGGACATGTTCAGGAATTCAATAGTGGGCTACTTCATTGGCAGCTCGGTGGAGGTGATACGACTGAACATATTCAGACTCACTTTGAAAGCAAAATGCAAATTCTCTTGTACAGGACACCTCAAAGACCAGTCAGTCCTCCAAACAAAAAGAAGAAAGAACAAGACGATAGATTTCTACCAGATAATGATGAAGATCAACAAGAAAAGAGTATAACTGCAACCATTGATGATGTGCTCTCTGCAAGGCCAGGCGCGCTCCCTGAAGATTCCAATAACCCTTGCTTTCAAATAGAGAGTAACAAACTTTCCTTAGGAATCCATCAAGCCAAAAGTCATAGGAATATAACATTACTGGAAGATGAACCAAGAAGCCGAGATGAAGTTCCTTTGTGTACAGTAGCTGCTTGGCAAGACTCTTTGGCCAGGCGTTGCATTTGTGTGTCAAATATTATTCGTAGTTTGTCTTTTGTGCCTGGGAACGATGCAGAGATGTCAAAACATTCAGGCTTGGTCTTGACTCTTGGGAAATTAATTCTCCTCCATCATGAGCATCCAGAGAGAAAACGAACACCACAGACTTATGAAAAAGAAGAGGATGTAGAAAAAGGTGCCAGCTGCAGCAAGGATGAGTGGTGGTGGGACTGTCTCGAGGTACTGAGGGAAAATACTTTGGTCACACTAGCCAATATCTCTGGACAGTTAGACTTGTCTGCTTACACAGAAAGTATCTGTTTGCCAATCTTGGATGGTTTACTACACTGGATGGTGTGCTCATCTGCTGAGACACAGGATCCTTTCCCAACAGTAGGGCCCAATTCTATCCTTTCCCCTCAGAGACTTGTGCTTGAAACATTATGTAAACTCAGTATACAGGACAATAATGTGGATCTTATTTTAGCCACACCTCCTTTCAGTCGCCAAGAAAAATTCTATGCGACTCTAGTTAGGTGTGTTGAGGATCGCAAAAACCCTGTGTGTCGAGAAATGTCTGTGGCGCTGCTTTCGAACCTTGCTCAGGGGGATCTAGTGGTAGCAAGGGCCATAGCTTTGCAAAAAGGAAGCATTGGAAACTTAATAAGCTTCTTGGAAGATGGTGTTACCATGGCCCAATATCAGCAGAATCAACATAACCTCATGCACATGCAGCCTCCCCATTTGGAGCCTCCTAGCGTAGACATGATGTGTAGGGCGGCTAAGGCTTTATTGGCCATGGCCAAAGTGGAAGAGAACCACTCTGAGTTTCTTTTGCACGAAAGCCGTTTATTGGATATCTCTATAACAGCTGTTCTGAACTCTACAGTTTCCTCAGTCATTTGTGATGTACTCTTTCAAATAGGACAGTTATGACATCAGTGGGAAGCCAAGCATGTGTGAGAGGAGAGTAGGAAGTCGCATATAACTGGCTATTTTTTCTGTTCTTTAGAGAAGAAGAAACATGACAAATAAAAGAAAAGCAAAGATGCTCCTCACCCAGTTATTATTTACCAATTGGAATTTCTAAGAAATGGTTAATGAGCTATGAAAATAAATATTTGCTGTTTGTGTATGTTCATTCTATTTTATTTTTTTTTCTTTACCAAAGTTGGTGATTGTTTCATTTGAAGGTCATTTTGGATCTTATTTTTTTAGTTTCCTTTTTTTGATTGTATTATTAGCCTTAGGGGACAGATAAACCCGTGTGAGCATTGTAAAAATGAAACTTTATCACTTCTTTGAAGAGAATAAGTTGTTATTATTTCAGTTTTCATATTCAGAGTATTTTTTGTACCCTTGAGTTAAAAGAAATGTTCCAAACCAGTGTGCAATAGAACCACTAGTGACATTGTTGGAGTATGTAGAAAGGGGGGCTCAGTTTAAAATCAAATCTGTTTTCATCCTTTGGATAACAGTAATACTAGAATAGAAGCAGAACGAATAGACACTTGTTGGGAAATAAAATCTGAACATTTAAACCTATTTAAGAAAAAAGTTCAAAAATTCATACCACTGTCATAATCAAGTATAGTATTTGAGATTTCATATAACAGCCTTTAGATGCTTTGTAATTTTTTTTTGTTTCTCATTATTACCCAGGGTCTGGGATGTATATAAGAAATGTACAGGCCTTCACTTTGTTTCTTTTCTTAAAAAATCATTTTTAGTATACTTTGGCTATCTCCCCATGATGTGGTTAAAGTGATAGACTTTTCTTGTCATCTTTTTTTTTTCTCCTTTGTCATGGCACTGAAAAAATCCTGGCCATATTTCCCACCATGGGGGTAATGTGCAGGTTTCTGTATGTATAAATTAATGCTCTATTTCAGTATAGCAGCTGGACACTTGCAGGTTGCAATTACAATGTGGAAAAAGTCACCTGCCAACTAAAGAAGACAATGGTTATATTATACAAACGGCAGTTATTACAACACATGAATCAACACAACTTCTGGGGTTTTTCAGTGATGAAACTCAACATATTTGTATTTCAAGAAAATGTAGTTTAAAAAAAAAAAAAGAAAAGAAAATGAAAAAACTTGTTGTAAATTCCTCCTTTTCCTCTGGCTTAACGAATATCATTTATTCAGTATAAAATCTTTATACTATATGTTCCACATGTTAAGAATAAATGTACATTAAATCTTGTTAAGCACTGTGATGGGTGTTTTTGAATAATCACTTTTTCCTCTTGTATATAGTATTTGAAGTATGTTAATGGTCTTTTACACAACTGTTTCAATATACTCTCTCTGACGTTGGAAAAGGTTTATATACTGTACTGCAAGGTTCAGCTTTTATATTGATACTCAACAGACTGTATATATTTTTGTAGAAATTAGCAATAGCTCTATTTGCTTCCCGTGGGTACCTGAGAAGTTGCATTGAGAAATAATGTTATTTTGTGTGCATAGAGTTTTGCTGTAAAAAAAACAAAAACCCAACAAAATTCTTTGAAAACCCGAATTATATAAAATGTTTTCATTTTCTGAGCAGAATGCAGACTGCTGTTTATTTTATACCACTTAGTTTGCATTACATTTGTCTTACAGTAGAATTTCTTTTGGTCTACAGCTTGCGCATTTTGAATTCAAAGACTAAAATGCCAAAATATTCTATCTTGTTCGGTTTCCAGGGAAGTGGATGTAGCCTGTGCAAAGCTGTTCTTTGTTTGATGTGAAAATATAGCTTTGTAAAATTACTTTACTAAACTTCTTAAAATGTACGTAAAAGCAAAATTTTAAAAAGTCACCTTGTAAAGTAGGAAACTCTTCACCACGAGTGAAATGTTTTCTTCTTTCTTCTTCTTTGCATTACAAAAAATATTCATGTTGCCAGTCCTATCTCAACATTGCTTCATGATGACAACATATTTGTAATATGTGAATTGAATTGCTTACAGCATTGTCAGTCACCACTGCCATGCTCAAAGGTTGTGTGCTTATACAGCCTCTGCATACAGTGTTGGCCCTCTTCCCATGTGATACTGGCTCTGCATTCACTGTTGTCCTGATCTCCCTGGCTTGGCAAGCATGACATGACTGAAAGAGAAAGTGTGTTGCTGCTACTCTCCACCCAAAACCTTTACCCAGTACACACTGCACTACCTACGCTAGCACCCAGATGATTGCAAGGAATTTTATTTAAAAAGAAAAAAAGTATGTGGAGCAATTAAAATATTTTAACAGAGTAGAATTAGGTATTTATTGAGGTCACATATTTTGTTTGTATTAGAATTTACATGTGTATTAGTGACATAAAATAAGTGGGTCAAAATGGCAGTGTAAAAAGTAAAGAGAAAAAAGTAAAAATCCCAGTAGGGGATCTGTGCAATGGACCAGCACTGCAATGTAAGGGAGCCCAAACATTATTCATTTTTCTTTTCATTCAACCAACTGGTTCAACAAAAAAATATGATCCGGTGTGAATGGGAGAATCCTTCCCACTGAGTTATTGTATTCTGACAGCAGGGAGAATACGCTGATTATTGTTGCCAGCTATATCCGCAGCACTGACTGATGAGGAAAAAAAACAGGCTGGTTGTACAGAAGTCAATCAACAGATTGTCATCTGTACAACCAGTCTACAAATACATGGATTAAAAATTCAGCTGGTTCCTGGTGAACCGGACAAATTTCAATCCATGTATTGCCAGCTTAAGTATGATTGCACACATAGGCTGCCCCTGTTGCCTTGTACCTGTTTTTTTCTTTACTTTGGATAGAGTGGAAAGCGTTAAACATTTTGTCAGGTTTCTGTTTGCAACCCCAATGGAGTGGTTTCCCTAATTTCTTGTCCAGGTGTTGCCTGTACAAAAATGGAGGGTGCAGTTTGTTTTCTTTAGAAAGCAGCCACAGCCTGAGTAAAAAATGTATATCCCCTGCACACAGCTACAGAGTGGGATCATTTTTGCGGGAAAGTAGTGATTCCAATGCAGAGGTTGCCTCAGCAAAGCTCATGCTAACAACTGATTGGAGAACATTGGCTCTGTTTCATCTTAGGACATATCAGACCTTTGCAAAAGATCACTGCTTCCCCAAAATGAGTAGGGAGTCTATTGTACAGCATGATGGCATGGACAGGCTTTTCTACACTGTGGATGATCTTTCAAGAAAACAAACTGTAAGACTTTGCACACCATTTTCCTGGAATATATTTAGCTTATTTAAACTGAAGGTACAATTCACAGTAAACAAAAAGCTTTGGGGTAATACTACAACAGAGTTTTCTTTGAGAGTTACTATACTACAAATATGTTTCTCATTGCTGACAGATCCAGTGTAGCAAAAGGTTTCCTATTATAGTCTCAGAAGTCACCATACTGTCAAAATGTTGTTCATGTGTACAGAAAAATTAACCATTTACAAAATTTTGCTATGTGCACTTTTTATGGTGAACTACAGCAGCTTGTACATTGAAGGTCACAATTACAATTTTGGCCCTAGGAAGTTAATTCAACTTTCATTTAAAGTGAAATTCCAGGCCTGCTGTTAAAAACACACAGGAGGATGAAAGTGCCTAGTGCATTACCAAAAACAACTTTTAATAAAACAACCAAATGCCAAAAACATTCTCACAATTGTTAAAGTAAGCCAGCGTGATAAGTCACAATATTCTGATCTAGTTGTGGACAGGGTAAAATGAGCCAAACAGACTTGAATTGGCAGGCTAGCACTTTTCGGGGGATTCACCCCCTTCCATAGAGCTCTTTCACCCGCCTGTGTGTTTTTATATTTTGTCAAGATTCCCCAGTACGAGGAGGGCTGCATCAATGAAGCATTACAGTTCATGCAGTTGATATCTTCCAGATGTGAATGCTTTTTGAGTGCTGGAATATTCATATATACCTGTGAATTCGAATTCCAGGCACATCCTAACTTGCCCCCTCCCCACTCCTAACACCTATGCCAAATAATCTGTGTAAGAAAGATGTATATACTTAAACTATTTTCTGGACACTTCTGTCCAGTCATCTGGCTTCAATCTGTGTCAGTCAGCGTGGCTTCAGGGAAAAGGAGGGAGTGCCAACAACAAATTGGCCATAGTAGACCTATCGGTGAAGTCACCGCTATAGGCTATAATGCCCTTTGTTGGAGCATTCCCTCCTCTCCCGTCAACTGTGCTAACTGACACAGAGGTGATCATGTGACTGGATCAGAGTAGCCTGGATCAGAGCAGATCTTTCTTACACGGGTTATTCAGAATATGTGTTAGGAGGTTGGAGGGAACATTTTTAAGTTAGCTAGGCAGTGCCTGGAGCGCAACTTTAATGGTTTTGATCTGCCATTTAGTCAAGGCCGATCTCGGGCAGTCCACTAAAACACAGAATTGCATTTTGTGTATAGAGTAGCTTGTGTCCACAATAAACAGAATTTGGCATGATAAGCTTTATTTTATATAGGAAAAAAAGCATTGTTATAAATTAACTTTTCTTCCAGCTAGGCATCCAAAAGCATGAAGCTTTGAGAGATCAGTGAAGTAAAATTCACCTGCTGTTAGCATACTCACCTATTCTGCTCTAGGATCTTCTGCATTAAAGATCAACCCTATCTATGCTGACAAGTTTAAGCCCCAAAGTCCTGATGCCGAAATCGACATTGGTCTCATAAACACACAGAAAGTGGTACCAAGATATAGGTAACGGAGCAAAACTACAACTATACCACATCCTTCCTTAAAATGGTTTCTGGTCCTCCAAACAGATGCCGACATCTAGAAGGATGAAGTTTGTTTTATCTTCAAACCACTCATAGAGAGCTAACATTTTTCAGACTGTTTCTTATGAAGAGTTCATATTTTAGAGGGTTATATATAAAATGCCTTACAGTATTTACCCTAGTAGTTATGAAAAATGCAAATGTTCTGCAAATAATAGTTTCAGCTAGTGTTTTTTTGGCAAAAAAACATGGAAACTTGCCCAGTAATATAAGGGTTCAATGACTTTACACAAACAAAACAACTGCCGCCCTGGAGTCCGCACCATACCCAACTTTGGTGCAGGACAACTGTGTGCTGCATAAGCAAAATAGTGCACATGTTCCAACAATAGAAGGTCCACAAATGGTATATGCCAGGTTCTAAAGTGTTTATTGACCATAAAAGAGAATAATCGCACATTAAAGCTTTCCGATCATGACTTGCTGTAAATGTTTATCTGACTTTTATATTTAATAAACACTTCAGAAGCTGTCGTAGTTTGTGTGTGGATTTTCTGTTAGAATGTGCTAAATGACTTTGGTCCACTGATTTTATAGTGTAAGAACACAGATGGCCTTCATAAAGTTTTCCTGGCCCACATTTGTTCTGGGCCTGAAAACTAACACTGAGTTTAAATTAGAGATACCATTTTCACAGATTTTATTTTCATGTTAAATGCATGCATGCTCCGTAATGTGCAATTATCATTACTCACAGAAAACACATGCCTTTGTCTGCATTGTTCTCCATAGGAATGTAGCCATCTATTTTCAGGCATTCTATGGGGTCAGCAACTACTCTCTGGATTGAAATTCTTGCTCAGAGGTGACATAGTATGAATCCTGCTGCCCCTGTGGTAGTCTTTGTTCTTGGTGGTTTATATACATCTTGCATGACTCCGCACCCTACTTCATCTTCTCACTTTGTGACTTGCAGGAGAGTTGTTATTATTATACAGGATTTATATAGCGCCAACAGTTTGCTCAGCGCTTTACAATATAATGGGAGACAATACAGCAACAATACAGTTCAATACAAGAGGGATTTGAGGGCCCTGCTCCTTGGAGCTTACAATCTAGGAGATAAAATGATGCATCCAGATTGCTAGGGGAGAGGAAGCTGAGGAAATGCTTCTTCCTGGCTGCAGCAGACAGATGACATTATCTCAGCATATGCAAAGTCACAAGAATTAAGCTCAAGGATTGCTTTTTTTAATTAAAAAAGGAAGCACTTTATACTGGTTCTGTAATATTTGACATGCCATGATTTGAATTATACAGACTTATACTGAAAGGTCCAGCTTAAGTAGACCTGTACTTAGTGCAGTATGGGTAGATGCCATTGCTGACTTTCTTCTAAAAAATACTAGTTTCCCAGCTGTGTCTGTCAGACCTGGATCTCAGAACTTCTAATCTGTATACTGGATCCAGGTCTGAATACTGGTACCATTAGATCACCATGAGCTCTAATGGCTTCAGATGATAAGGTGAACAATGACTGCTTTCCTATGTTATTATTGCAGGTTTCCTTTAACAAATCAGCTTGTTCTATTTTAAATAAAGCACTGTTAGATTGTTAAAGCCCAAACCCAGGCCCATATAAAGACACAATCATGCAGCTCTGCATTCTTTAACCACTTCCAGGCCGGACACTTTTACCTCCTTCCTGTCCAGGCCAATTTTCAGCTTTCAGTGGTATCACACTTTGAATGACAATTGCGCGGTCATGCAACACTGTACCATATGAATATTTTTGCATTTTTTTTAGACAGATAAAGCTTTAGTTTGGTGGTATGTATTCACCACTGGGATTTTATTTATTTTTTTTGCTATATAAATGAAAAACTCCCAAAATTTTGAAAAAAAAGTGTTTTTCTTATAAAATTTTACAAATAAATAATATTGCATAATAAATCTTGGCCAAAACGTATTCAGTTATCTTTTTAGTAAAAAAAAAAAATAACCCAAATTAGTTTATAACCAAAAATTATAATTTTTTAAAAATTGTTTTACATTTTTATTTTTTATATTATTTGTTTTTTTCTACATACTGTCACCCTAGTGACACTGTACTACTTGCTGGGGGTGAAGATTTTTTTTTTTACATTGATTGCTTTTACACCTATAAAGGCCATAAAAGCAATCATTTCTCCTTCTCTCTGGCTGCAGCCATGGGAACTTCTGTGTTAGCTGTGATTGGTTACAACTTGTCACATGGTACAAGGCTGTTGTGAAAAGCCTTGTATTATGTGATCTCTGTGATCATTCACAGATTTCACACGTAGTAAGCAATGATGTCAGAAGTGATATCTTGCTCACTACTCTGCATGTGATCACTGATTGGCCAATCAGTGATCACATGATCGGGACCTCGCACAGAGGTGCCGTCCAACGATCGGTGTTCCACTGTGTCTGCAGGGCATCGGATCACAGTGCTGAGCACTCCCAGGGAGCGCGCACAGTCCATAATGGTGGTTGCCATTTATGAACGGCAACCCGCCCCTGGAGTACCACCGTCCTGCCATTTATATACAGTGGCCGGACGGCAAGTGGTTAAAGTGTCACTACAAGGTCTGTATAAAACAGCCATACCAGTCCTTAAAGTGTTACTAAACCCACAACAGTAAAATCAGTCTGAATATGCAGTAAAGCATGCTTGTTATACTCACAGAGAAAACACAGGGGTTAGTCCTCTGCATTGTGTAAGGATGTTTAATCCTGTTTTCTCTGATCCTTCCCATCTTCTAATGTTCATAATCCATCTGCTGATAGAACAGAGCCTTGGGGGCAAGCTGTACATGGTGTGTATTGCTAGAGAAGTGTTTTTTTTGGGAGAGTGCATGTGATCAGCACAGGCCAATCAGTACTGTGCATATAGAGGGTCAGGGGTGCTGCATCCTCATAGGACAACCAGGGAGAATGAAAACTCCTCTTACAAGCTTAACCAGTGCTCTGCTGGACACTGACAGAAGTCAGAAGACTGCTACACAGTGAAGGAAATAAGTATTTGATCCCCTGCTGATTTTGAAAGTTTACCCACTCACAAAGAAATTATCAGTCTAAAAATTGAATGGTAGGTGTATTGTAACACTGAGAGACAGAATAGCAACACAAAATTCAAAAGAAATGCATGTCTAACAAATTATGCACTGATATGCATGTTCCTGAGGGAAATAAGTATTTGATTCCCTTCACAAAACATGACTTACTACTTGGTGGCAAATCCCTTGTTGGCAATCACAGAGGTCAGATGTTTCCTGTAGTTGGCCACCAGGTTTGCACACATTACAGGAGGGATTTTGGCCCACTCCTCTTGGCAGATCCTCTCCAAGTCATTAAAGCTAGGTGACTGACGTTTGGCAACTCAAACTTTCAGCTCCCTCCACAGAGACTGGCTAGGCCACTCCAGGACCTTAAATCAGCAGGGGGATCAAATACTTATTTCCTTTACTGTATACTGCTGATGAGAAAAGGTATTTAGCAGTTTATATTTACTAAAATAATTGCATTTCCATGTTCTGTGTACTGTGAGAGACCAGATATAGTGAAAGCGGAGTCTTGGGTTTAGTAACACTTTACCACCACCATTTCAAATTTGTCAGTTAACTTTAAGTACTTTTTCTCCTATGTGCACTGCCCACAGTGCCTGTAAGGCATCCATTTCCACCTATGGAGTTCAAGCAGTGCAAGTTGACATAAAATTAGCTTGCACTACAATTGCATGCATTTCATATTTTATTTATATACTTCATATTTTATAAGTAAATACTAAAATCTTTAGAATGAAGCATTAACTTTATGATAGAACAGTGGTGCTCCAGAGGAGCAGAGACAAGGAGAAAGAGAATAAATAGGGGGGATTGAAAGCCATGAGAGAGATCCTTTTTAAGGGTAGTATTCAGATGAACATCGTGTATCAGTGTATACTCAAATTCATAAGGTTGCTGAACACCCGTTCTAGGGTCAAGCAACCTATTTTAGCATATATGAAGAATATGACTGTCTCCACACAGAGTGTGGGTGGTCACACTTGATGCTGGTTGGGGTTTTCTGGAAATTCTTGCGCTACGCTAGGTTTGAGATCAGATCCGGAGAACAATGGTAGATAAAATAAGGCCCAAAATGGAACCAGTATGTGGTCAGCATAGGTGCCCATTCTATAAAAAGGTGCTTCCAAGTGGATTCTTTAGGAAGGTTGGTATTTATTGATCATGAAAACAAGTTAAAACACCATCAATGCATTTCATGATTCTTTAGTGGCCACTTCATTAGGAAAAGGTGTAAGCCCAGAGTATACTCTGGGCTAAAGGAATGCACACAGATCCCACACACTAAAGGTATTTCATCAAGTGTAGTATACACCTTCTCCTGATGAAGTGGCCACTAAAGAGCTACAAAACATGTTGATGGTGTTTAACTTGTCTTCATGATTAATAAATACTAATCTTCATGAGGAGTCCACTTGGAAGCACCTTTTTTATTGAATGGGCGACTCTGCTGACCACACACTGGTTCCATTTTGGGGCCTTATTTTATCTACCATTAACTTTATGGCCCTGATAGTTTGGCTGCAGTAACACTAGTCCTCCATAACCTCCGTGAGTGCCATGTTTCTTTCCGAAGCTCCAAACATTCAGTCCACGTATCCTGCATTTTCTGATTTAGGGGTAAAGATGAATTGTAATTTTGTAACAGTGATTCCTTCTGTAATCTGTTTTACACCCATTTGTGTACTTTATCTTCACTGGAGCAGTAACTGGGGCCAGTCCTTCCCACTTTTCTTCTGAATAGGATCATTATTCGTATATTGTTAAAGAAAGTGACAGATTGGTGTTAATGTGAAAACGTTCCCCTTCCAAGTTGAATAGCAGAAGATTGTTTGCCAATGTCACCAGTGTTCTATAGCCATGAAAACACTTGAGTCTTTCACATATTATAAACATCTAAACAGCATAAGTGGAATAACAACTAGAGGGGTCACGCTTCTAAAACATTTATTTCTGTTATTCTTCTATATAGAAAAATATACTAATAAAAAATTCTACTGTATATAAAATATAGATACTCCATCCTTTAAATGCTATATGTAGCCATTGTGTAACGCCTTTATTTTTTTATCAGGCTTTCATTTAGATAGAATTGATAAACAAGTTTCAAGAGGGTAAAGCAAGAAAAACTAATAAGAAAATAACAAAGCAACCCAACATCCTACCCTACCCCACCCCATACCCCAGAAACACAGTTTAACCACTTGCCTACCAGGCACTTATACCCCCTTCTTTACCAGGCCAATTTTCAGCTTTCAGCACTGTCGTACTTTGACAATTGCGCGGGGTCATGCAAGATTGTACCCATATGAAATTTTTATCATTTTTTTCTCACAAATAGAGCTTTCTTTTGGTGGTATTTAATTGCCACTGGGCATTTTACTTTTTGCGCTATAAACAAAAAAATTACAAAAAATTTGAAAAAAAAGTTTTTGTTTCTATTATAACATTTTTCAAACAGGTAATTATTCTCCTTTGCTGATGTGCGTTGATGAGGCAGCACTGATAGGCAACACTGATGGGTGGCACTAATGAGGTGTCACTGATAGACAGAACTGATAGGTGGCACTGACTGGCATCACTGCTGGGCACTGACTGGCAGCACTGCTAGGCATTGACTGGCACAACTGCTGGGCACTGACTGGCACAACCACTCGGCACTGGTGGGCACAGGTGGGTGGGGGCACAGGTGGGTGGCACTTCTAGACACAGGTAGGTGGCACTTCTGGGCACAGGTGTGTGGCACTGCTGGGTGGCACAGGTGGGTGCACTGCTGGGCACAGGTGGGTGCACTGCTGGGCACAAGTGGGCGGAAGTGGTGGGTGTGGCACTGCTGGGCACCGATCATCAGGGCACTGATCATTAGTGCCCTGATGATCGGTGCCGATCTCTGCTCCGAATACTGCCAGTTCTCGGCAGTACTTTCCTCACGCTCTGACAGCGTAAGGAAAGTGCAGCCGAGAACCGGCAATTGCATTTCCCGGTGATCAGCGTGTCATTGGACACGGCTGATCACGTGGTAAAAGACCGCTGTGATTGGCCTTTTACCACATCACGTGATCAGTTGTGTCCGTAGGACACAGCGATCAAGGAGATTGCTGGGGGCGCGCAGGAGAGCGCGTTCTGGGAGGACGTCATATGACCCTCTCCCAGAACTGGCCGGCCGCAGTGTCGCGGTCATTCGGCTATCTGCGGTTGGCAAGTAGTTAAATTTATACAAACCACTGCCATATAGCTGGTCACTCTGTAGGTGTCTATACAGCCTATAACGCAAAACATTGATCCAAAGCACTATTATGTGAAGACCTAATAAATGAGAGTGCATTTTCTGCAAGGTATCCTAACTGAGCATCAGTCAGGAGTTTCCTGACCCTGCCATCCTGTCAGTTCCATGATTGACCTAATTAAAGAGGGACTTCTCAACATATATAATTATTTAATATCACCTAGTGTCAGCTACTGTGTGATAATCAATCTGTATTCGTAAGAACAGGGAAGGGGAGTTCCATCAATAACAGACACAATTCCCATAATTTGTCATAGGCACATAGGTTGTGTTCGCAAGTAAGCTTTTCTAATTACAGAGTGAGTTTAAAACCATGTCAACCCATTCCAGGAAGGCTGATGAATTAAGTGAAGGTGTTTCTGGCAATTAGTATTCTGGCCAGAAAAAGTAGTCTAGTATGGGCTTTATATGTTGCCCTTTCCTCACTAGACATTGGGATATGACCAAATATACAAGTCCGTGGGGTGCAGGGTATTGCTACAAAGTAAACTGTGGACATGCAATCTATCACTTCTTCCTATAGCGGAATAGCTTGGGGCATTGCCAGAGTAGGTGGATACGGTCCTGCTGCATTTTGAGCAAAAGAGTCTGTTCACATTTGCGTAGTAAAGTAGGATCTATGAAATATAAATAACAGACTTCGTTTAGAGACGGTAGAGAGGGGAAGTAGTAGGGACAGCCTTCATAATTAGACTATTGAAAGCTGTTAATGGATTCTAGATGGATCAGCGTCCCATCTTGTCTTACTATTGAGAGAAAAAAATGTTATATTTGTGTAGGGGCATAGTAATAGGGACATGGCTACAATTCCCTTGGAAATAGTAGATGCAGTGGATAGATGTGATTCAGCCCCACGGGAAAGAATATTTCTACATGTAATGAATTTTCATGCTGCAAAATACATGAGTATTGTTGCATGAAATGGGCAATTGTAAATCGGTACTACTTTGATACCATAAGTAATCAATTACCACCATAAGTGCTTTTCACAAATTAATAGATGAAATTGAAAAAAAATGTTCTTAGGGAGTAAACAACTGCTAGAGACAAAGTACAGAATAGTACAACATAGCTTTTCTGTTATATGTTTTTATTTTGTATGTACTGTTGTGAAATGTTCTCTTTATTTCTGTTTGATCAGATTTTGACTTTC